ATTTATAGCCACATTTTTCTGGTAAGGAATGGAAGCAGAAGAGATTTTACTCATTTCTATTTATCACTTGAAATCAGGCATTAATGTCTTTCTTTCACTTTACAGCTGAACCACAAATGTATTAAATATTAAAGACATGTTTCTTTTGTTCAGCATGGAGTGGAGTTTATATAATTTACAGCAGTACTTTAAAAAAAAAAGTTTGTTCTCAACTACAGGAGGACACAGATTGAATTACAGACAGGCCTTGATTGATGATCGGTAGTTTAGTGACCACAAAACCAGAAAAAGGGACCTGTGACCTGGATTCAAAGTTCAGACAACTGCTCCCCCCCCCAATTACATGTCTGCATTTTGGGTGCTAGATACCAGGCCAGTCTGTGGCTGTTTGCAGTGTCTTGTAATCACATGCTCACCAAGTTTTTATGGGAAAACAGCATTTACTACTGATGTCTGGCCCAAAATGCCCTATAGCAGTGGTGCCTAACCTATGGCATGGGTGCCAGAGGTGGCACTCGGAGCCCTCTCTGTGGGCACACGTTCCGTTGCCCCATCCTTGCCTCCCCCGTGATCCCCTCCTCACCAGCAGCCCCCCTGGAGGAGAGTCACCCCCGAGCATGGCCCAAGCGGAGCAGTGCAGTCAAGGACATGGCAGCCAGGCAGAGTAGACAAGACTCTGCCCTCACGCCCCATCGTGCACAGTTGATGCTGCGGGGCGCGGGCAGAGGGCGTGGCCATGGCGCTGCTGGGCGATCTGCGGCGGGCCCTGGAGACGATGAGTGGCCCTGTGAGCAGGTGGGATGGGGGCGGAGCGAGGGCGGGACCAGTTTTTGGGCACTCGGTCTCTAAAAGGTTCGCCATCACTGCCCTATAGAGAACAGTGAGTTTGCTTTCCGATTTCAGTGTTCACTTTCTCACTGCTGCAAAAATGGCCATAATATCATGTATGTTACATGGTGATGTACTTAACCACCCTCACAACTTACAAATTGTGATTTCAATTATGATTGTAAGTCAAGAATAACAGCATCCCTCTTGAATATAGAAAAGCTCTGGATCATTCCTGGATGCTCACAGTTATTACCTATCCCTCGAAGCTTGTCCAGGCTTCCTGATTTGGAAGAGGCAACCATTTTGGCTTCCATGCCCAGACTGCTTTTCCTGTCAATTTAGGAAGTCCAAGCAGATGAAGGAATACCTTTCTTGCAAGACCCACTTGCAAGACCCACCGGGACCAAAGGTTTACTTTTCCAAGCTTTCAGAGCCCATCCTCAGGGGACTTCTCTCTCTCTCCAGAATGTGTGACTGGAGTGTGTTCCAGAATTTAAACTGAGAGAGAGAAGTTCCCTGAGGATGGACTCCAGTACAAGTCTGAAAGCTTGGAAAAATAAATCTCTGGTCCCAGTGACTGACTTAGATTAGATCTCCAACATTATACTGGAACGTGTATATTTGCCTTTCTTGTCTGCTGAAGGGAGAACAAGAAACGTAGGGAATAAGCAATAAAGGGCCCAGAACAGAGGAACAATCGTACAGAAATACTAGATAAGGATTCATCATTTTCCAACACTTTTCTATGCCAGAAGAGAAAAGCTTCCACCTATCTCTATGTTCTGCAGTTAAGAGCCGTGGTGGTGCAGTGGTTAGAATGCAGCATTGCAGGCTAATTCTGCCAACTGCCAGCAGTTCAGTTCTCACCAGCTCAAGGTTGACTCAGCCTTCCATCCTTCTGAGGTCAGTAAAATGTGGACCCAGATTGTTGGGGGCAATATGCCGACTCTATAAATGGCTTAGAGAGGGCTGTAAAGCACTGTGAAGCGGTATATAAGTCTAAAGTGCTATTGCTATCTCTTCTGTTTAATTTCTTCAAGGATAATTTGGTCACTCTACTTTCAATGGCAAATAACCTGCATCTCCAGGGTTAATAGAACTTCAAAGACTAGCTCATGAACAAAGAGATTTCCCTTCACCTAGTCCACACAGCTTACAACCTAAAGTTTGAAGATGAAGAGACCAAAGAAGAATAAAATTAAGAAGAATCCTTTAATCCTACACAGCTTTATGACTTTTGGTGGGGTTTTTTTTTTTTTCAGGAGGAAAAAGTCGCAGCAAGAGTTCATCCTCTTTATTCATATTTCCTCTAAAATATCGCCTTTTCTGTAGCGCTGAGGTTTAATTTCCTTTCCTTTCCCACTGTGGCTATATCTTAAACTAAAAATCCACTCTGTGTTATATTTCTTCCTACAACCTCTCTTCTTTATCATCCCCCTAGCCTTTTTTTAGCTTTCCGTATTTATGTAGTTAACAAGCCTTAGGAAATTATATTCCTGTTTATGAAAAACACTAATGACAACATGGTTACATAACCCTGCCCATTCAGGAGGAGGAAGGCAAAAAGGAAGGAAATATTGTCAAGAAGCCATTGCTGTTTCTATGCAGATAATGTAAAACCCACTCTTGGGAGCGAACAGGACTTCATACAAAAATCTCTTGCTGACCTGCTCATTAAAGAAACTTCCTATAGTTGTCTTTGACAAAGCCCTTCCTTTACTTCCTTAAATTCTAAGAAGACATTAAGCACAAGGACAGCTGGGAAGCATCAATCAAGACATCAAGAGAAACACCCTTGGAAAGATGTGGAAAGTAATGGAGCCGTCTTTGTTTCTCAGGGTAATCTTAGATTAAACTCTCTAAACCTAAGGCAAACAATATACATTAGCACAAGAAAGTAATTACACTACGACACCTCAGTCTGAATTGTTATTAAGAAATAATAAATTATGAGTCAGTATTTCAATAAAAATAGAGATTGGGTGTTGATGAGTTGGCAACTGTGCCTAGTATTTTGTAAATTAAACACACTATTTATTCTTGATAAATTAGCCTGGATTTCTCTTTTAAAAATCTTTTGAATACTTCCAACTTTCAAGAGTCAGAGAAGTCAATAAAGGCTAATCCTTAACCTTCTGAAAGAACTATTTCTTCTCTTTACAGATAATGCTTCCTGCAGCATCTACACTTAATTTTAAAATCGCGCATATTCTGCTACCCTGCTGTGTAAAAATCTACTGGCTTAGAACCAGAATAATGCTTGAGTAATTTGAGATTTATAAAACCAGAAAATACATGGGCTGGGAAAGCACTTTAAAAACCTTTGGTGTTTGCTTATATCTTAAATAGCAATATCATTTAGACTTATATACTGCTCCATAGTGCTTTACAGCACTCTCTGAGCAGTTAACAAATGTCAGCATGTGGCCCCCAGCAATCTGGCTCCTAAATTTTACTGACCTTGGAAGGATGGGAGGCTGAGTCAACCTTGAGCTGGTGAGAATCGAACTGCTGGCAGTCAGCAGAATTAGCCTGCAATACTGCATTCTAACCATTTGCACCATCGCAGCAGTTAAATACTCCAGCAAGGCTCAAAGAGAGGAGCATTGGCTTCAATAATCAATAGATTTGTTCTCATATTCAAGTGATCCTGAGATCAGATTGGCAGCATTTAGAAGAAGGTAGCAAGATTATGGGGACAGGATTCTTCAGGTATTATTATGGTCTAAGCCAGTGGTGGCGAACCTATGGCACGCATGCCAGAGGCGGCACTCAGAGCCCTCTCTGTAGGCACATGCGCCATGCCCCAGCAACTGTCCCTCTTCAACCAGCCACCCGCTAACTCGCTGAGGTCCCACGTGGCCGGATGCATCCGAGCACCCATGCGCTCACTGGCCTCTGTGTGCAGGGGCCAATAATGTCAGGCAGCAGCTGCCCCGGCCCCTGCCTCACCTTGCCCTGTGACAATGGCACCCCCGCCCTGCCTCGCCTCACCTTGCCTTACCCCACAGGATGAGCCTCCTGCCCACTGCCCCACCTGCCAGAGACCCCCGGGATCTCCGCCAACCGTGCCCGGCCCCCACAGGCATCCCTCCCCACGAGCAACATCGAGGTGATCACACCCACCTTGGCCACACCCACCCAATCTGCCATGACCACCACAGCCACGCCCACCCAGTGGCCCATGACCACCTGGCACCCGGCGATACATAAGTGGGTTTTGGGTTGCGGTTTGGGCACTCGGTCTTTAAAAGGTTCGCCATCACTGGTCTAAGCAAATGCAGAAATCAAAAGATTAGCCCAAATGAAAGTCTCTGTGACAAGTCATACTGGAATTACATAAAAGGCTGTGATCCGTCTTGAGAGATACTCGAACTGCTGTCACCAGAAGTGGTGGCCAGGAAACTTCAAGTTGGAGATTAGAGAGAGGAATGTAATTCCTCTCATCTTCTTTACACAAGCAGCTAGCCTATTTCTACTTCTTTTTAGAGTAGGTCCTGTATGGTTATGTCATAATGTCTCTTGTACTTTTGGGCTCAAAGAAATTCTGAACTGTAGGCTAATCAGGAAAGAAGATACAAAGAGTGTCTTATATTATTGCCTCTTTATAATTATTTATAATTATACAATGCATAATTATATACAATAAATATACACTGTAAATATACAATGTACAATTGTGGCAATAACACAATGATTTGATTTCAATCACTTTAACAGTTAAAGAATAGAGGCAAGGTGAGGAGGGTTTTCTTTTAATGAAACAAAAGAGAATGTGTCCATTGAGGATAGAATTCTGTTTCTTGAATCACATTTTGGACCCAGGAGTGAATCAGGACCAATTATCCTAATCTAGTGATGGTGAACCTTTTAGAGATCGAGTGCCCAAAAACCGCCTCACCCTGTCCCGCCCTTGCCTCTCCTGCCCGCAGGGCCACCCACCACCTCCACGGCCCACCACAGCAGATCGCCCAGGCGGCCCAGCAGCATCATGGTGGCCATGCCTTCTGTCTGTGCCTTGCAGCAGCATCTGTACACGATGGGGCACGAGGGCGGAGTCTTGTCCCTTCTGCCCGGCTGCCATGTCCTTGGCTGCACTGCTCTGCGCAGGCTGCGCCCGGGGCGAGTCTCCTCCAAGGGGGCTGCTGGTGAGGCCATGGGGTGGCGGGGCGGGGGGATGGCATGCGTGCTCACAGAGAGGGCTCTGAGTGCCGCCTCTGGCACCTGTGCCATACGTTCACCATCACTGCCCTAATCTGTTAACAGTATCTCACTTCCAGTACATGAAGGAAGCAAAAATTTTCTTCAGAGTCTTAACATTTATGAAGACTCCAATGATAATCCCACCCTCTCCCCAATGTATTTGTTAGACTTTTCTACACACACACACACACACACAAATTTGCAGAAAAGTCTAACAAATACATTGGGGAGAGGGTGGGATTACCATATATAGATATAGATTCTGACAAGATTACTTCTAATCTGCATGTTTTCCCTATTTTCTATCCTAATCTGTACATTGTTGATATTTCATTGTATCTGATGTATGTAGGTATAAAAGCAAAGAAAATGAGGAAAAAACCCCACGCTCAAAAGAACCCTTTTCCGAATGAGAACTGAATTGTGTAAATATTAAACATTTTGTTTCAATATTGAACCTAGTTTATTTTCCATTCTTTTTAAAAGTAGCCAAGTACTTCTTACAGCTAACCAAGCAAAACAAAGGAGCACTTCTTTCTGAGATTTAGACGTTGATCCATATAAGAGTGAAACAAAGAAACAGTATTCGTATCTTATAAAACCATCTTAAAATATTAAGAAGAGGAAAATCATGTGACCACTCAAGGAATAACATATAAGACCTTCTCTCTCCCTCTGTGTGTGTTGTGTATGTATGTGTGTTGTGTATGTGTATCTGTACCAAGTATATTTCATAAATGTGGAGAGTCTTTCCAAAAAAACCCGATATACAGAGAAGGACCTTTATTGTACCTGAGATGGAGATGCCTGAGAGCCACATGCTCTCAAATCCACCTCCTTTTCCTTGGTTCCTAGTGTGTCCCTTTGGGAATTGTGTGCTGATGAGGAAACTGAAGGAAGGGCTCAGACCAAAGACAAAATCATGAATCTTACATTGCTGCAAATTCAGTTCTGTCTTCACGAATCGCTGGCGATAGCTCTGACCTCTACCAGCTGCTAATTTCTCACAGGATTCACTTGACTTTCTTGACCAAAAATGCTTGCATTGCAAGCAAGAGATATATGTGTCCTCCCATGCTGCCTTTCTGGATGTCTACCTCTATCCCAATATGAGCAGTGCAGCCCCATGTATGCCTTCCTTCCACGAAGGTATATCTAGGATGGGAAATTGTGCAGAAAATCCCAGCCGTGTTATACCAGAGGATTCGAGGCTATACTAAAAAGCGGTTGTGCATCCTATAGGTTGTCCACCACTTCTTTTTAAACATTCCCTCATGGCTGAGGCTGTTGGCTGTGAGACCATTTGCGGTGGGCTCTATTTCATTGGCAGGGTTTTTAAACTAAGGCTGGAAGGCTAATTGTTTTGGCTGCTGTAATTTTATCCTACATTACGGATCCGGCAGAGGGTTGGATTTTATGTCCTTCACAAATCTATAATTCTGTGAGCACTGTTAAATGTAACTTGCATTATGATCTAGTGGTGTTGGAAAAGCTGCTCTAAAAATATGCATTTGGCTGGAGTATCCAAATGTTCAGACCTGGGAATGAGATGCTGCATATTCTGGGTCTCCATTTCTCTATATTGAATGCCTCCCTTCATCCCTAGAAGCTTTCTCTCTAGTGAGTCCAACTCAGCATTTATTCTTATAAAAGAAACCTAACTATCCTTCAGTAACAAAAATTCAGACTGAAAATAGCAGTGTCAGAAAGCAAGAAAGTACTTTTTTTCCCTTTATCACCAGTTCTGATAAGATCAAAACTTAGGTTACCTTACTTGAAGTCAAACACAAGGTTTTAGCACATGGGGCCCGCCTTCCATCCCTTAAAATCACTTTTCATTCCACTGAAGGGAATAACCCTACTCTGATACTCACCATTATCAAATATGGTCCCTGCAGTGAAGGACAGCTCTGAGTGATGTTCTGCTTTACAAGCATACAAGGCTCTAGCTTTGCGGCATGGAGAACTGTGAAAACAGTAATAATTTTAAACATCAGAATGAAGATAAGCTGATACATATTTACGTGTGCAAGCACAAACATTTCTCAATATTTCTTCTGGCAAATATTTGAAATGTATGTCAAATCTACCAACTAGCAAAACGCAGAGCTGAAGGGGAAAAAAACCAGTCAGAGTAGAGAAAAATGAAGAACATTTGAGATAACAAGCTAAAACTTAAAGAGGCAATACTTCTTCTTCAAACCATATTTCACCATTCTGGAAATCCTGCTTAGACTTATCTGCAGTGTTTGAGATTGAGACACACACACACACAAACACACATACTGTTGCCCAACAGAATGAGCAATAGCACCTCAGAGAATGTCCGAAATATGTGAAAGGCAAATCAGAGACAGAATACTGGGAATGCAAATTCTACAAAGCCAACTATTATTTGTTCTTTGGAGTAGGAATTGCTGAAAAAAAAAATTAGTCAGTGGCTTGACTGAAACTAATGCAGCTAAAGACTGGTACAAACAGCTTTTCCGTGCTGCAACAGCCTTGAATTGAAGATTTGGTAAACACAGGTTTGGGGGTTTTTTTTGGTCATTTCTTGAATTACTGTTATCTTAATCACTAATTCATCTGCTGTAGACTTTTAACTGCATCCCTTAACTGAACAAGTTATAACTTGATGAAATAGAAGCCAGTAAAGTCCGGTGATCCATAGGTTGACTATTTATTTAATAAAGTCTCAGTTCTTAATACATCATGTAATAATACAAAACTTGTAAAAACAGCATAAAAACAACATATAATAGTGCCAGTAGAAAACAATGCACATGTAGGATAAAAATCAGGAGTACCAGCAATAATGCTGTAGTGGTAGGTAGCGTCTGTGTTTTAGAATCAACCATCAGTAATAAAACCAAAACCAAGCAGTTGAGAAATAGACCATAGACTAGTACTTGGCAGAGTAGCCATGAAGGCCTTAGATATGATACTCAGGGGCCTTGATGCACCTTTACCTGCAAAGACCATAGTGTAAGCAGTGTAAGCAATTTTTACCTGTGCATTCTATGTAAATTAAAGTTGGACTTTGATGAAACAGGATAGAAAGAGTATTGACACTTGGGAAGTCTGGTGTTAGAATAGGTTAGAATTCTTTACTGGCCAAGTGTGATTGGACACACAAGGGGCTTGTCTCCAGTACATAAGCTCTCAGTGTACATACAAACAAAGGATGAGATAGTAGGAAAGATGAGAAGATGAGAAAAGATGAGAAATGAGAAGGATAATAGCAATACAGCCTACTACGTGGGTAAATATCTTTAGGCCTAAGACAGTGCTGTGGGAATTAGGTATTCATCAGAGTGATGGCACAGAGGGAAAAGTATCTGTCTAGTTGTTTTGGCATGCAATGCTCTATAGCGGCGTCCTGAGGGGAGAAGTTGAAACAGTTTATGTCCAGGATGTGAAGGGTCTGTTAGATATTTTTCCAGCCCTCCTTCTGGTTCATGCAGTATACAGGTCCTCAGGGGAAGGCAGGCTGGTTGCAATTGTTTTTTGTTTTTGTTTTTTCGGAGAACATTGTTGGAGAAGACTCTTGAGAACACCATGGATAGAACAAACAAAGGGATAATTGGAAAAAACCCCCACTATGCAGAGTTCTTACTTGAGGCACAAATAATCAGGCCCAAATTATTCTACTTTGGACATATAATGCAAAGACCCAACTCTCTGGAGAAGGCTCTAGTGCTGGTAAAACTGGAAGGAAAGAGAAGAAGGGAAAGACCAGCAGCAAAGTGGAATGACCTAAGTTACAGTGGTGATGGGTGCATCAATGGAAGAATTGAGGGACCAGGTTGGGGAGAGGATAGAGAAACTCTATATACTGTCTACAATTGCTAAAAATGACCACTGACTTGTTAGCACATAGTCAAGCAATTCCAATAATAAGGCAATATATAAAGCATACAATCACAAAATCACATTAAAGATCTAAAACATTAAAGTAAACCTTAACAGGTCTGGGTGAATAAAAAGCTCTTCATTGGGTACATAAAAATACTATACAGCAGGCCTTAAAATAATATCTGGGAAGTGTATTTCCAAGGTGGAATGGTACCGCTTAAAAAATCTTTCCTTGGGAACTGCATAAATGCCCCTGGATGAGGATAGCTGGAATGGCTCTCAAGGGAAGATCTTAGAGATTTTGGAGGCCAATATGAAAAGATGTGGTCCTTCATTAGGTGGGCCCCAAACAATGTATTGCAATATATGCTATTACCAGCATTAGGAATTGGGACTCCAGTGCCATAAAATAATGCATCCATAAATCTAACTCTATAGCTACTGTTTTGAACTAATAAATAAAAAAAAGCATTGCTGGAAAACACTTGACAAATCCATGATAAAAAATAGGGAAAAAAACCAAAATTAACTTTCTGAGCTCCTTATGTTGGAGATATAGACAAGGGAACATTCAGTATTTGTTTTATTACATCTCCCACAACTGGAAACATCAGGTGCAAAAACTGATGTCATGCATTTTTTTTCTTCAGATAGTGAAAATTCTAGGAGTCTTCTGCTCAAAGCTGAGTGCCTAATGTATATGTTTGTTGATTAGTACCAATTTTGCCAATAGGAAACTTGCATCAAGAGAAGTTTTGAAGAACAATTTTTCCTCTGCTTTTTTCCTTATTCTTGGAGAGTCAAGGAGCCCTACGAAAACTTGACTTTTCAGTTACGTCAAGGAAGACCAACTCAGTATTTGAGGCAGGAGACCACAATCAAAATGTTTCCGTTTAGATTCTTGCACTGGGCAGACTGCTCGACTGGACTCAGTAGCTTTATGACTCCTAATCATAGGATCCTAAGATGAAACGTTTAGACCTGCCTTCCTGTTCCTTTAGGATGGGTCCTAAGCCTCTCCTGAACAGTTTTTTTGTTGACCAAGAGAGGAGAGGAAAGATTGTTTTCTCTTTTCTAAAAAAAAACACATTGAATTGTAATCTATGGATTGCAAAAGAAGATGAGTTGGCAGATCAGGCACAATTATTCTAATTGATCCCATGACGTCATAGAGGCTAAAAAAAAAAAAAAAGAGGAATGGGCTGTTACTCCTAGTTTCCAAGGATTGGTGATACTCCATCTCTTTGTCTACTTTTCTCTAGGAATTTCTTTAATTAGTTTTAGTTCTTTGCTTACTTACCCTCCCTCTTCCCCCTCGCCTTGTAAAAAAAGCCATATGCATTAGTGATTGTGGCATGGAGACTGTGCTTTTTTTTTTTTTTTTTGCTAATGGAAAATATGGTATTTAAATTTGAGCTCCTTTACAGTCTTTGAAAATCCTCTGCTGAGAAATGTGTAAAGACAAAACCAGATGACCTGGACAACAGTATAATTAATATCAGAAAATACCAGGCCAGCTTTATCCTGAAACAAATGAGAAGATCTGCAACAGATGTTTTTTAAATCGTCCAACAATGCCGGCCTCTTAACTTTAGTAAACTGAACCTCAATTGTTCTATCAAGAGCTTTAAATAAAGGAAAGCAAAGATGATGGCATGGTTAAATAAAAGGAAACATCTTCTGGAAAAACTATTCACATGCGCAGTGTGCTATCTTCCCACTCGTACAGAGGAACATGAATAGCATTATAAGAGTGTCTTGTTTGAGATGATATTTAGCAGTGGCTCTTGGATACACACTCACAGTTTTCCTGGATAAGGCTTGAGATGCATATTTTCCCATGAAATGCATTTGTGCATGCAAGCAACATCTGTGGAACAGGTAAGTGTGGGGGATTAATTCTTCCTACTCTTAATGAAGTCTTAATGAAGATACTACTCTAAAGCTGCTGTTTTCAGTGGCATGAAATTCCTCAGTGAAGGTAACTGGTAATTTTTTCCCCTTGCAAATAGAGGCTTCAGAGGAGAAATGTTCATCAAGCCTGGGGTGCCTAAAGGTGCTTTTTCAAGAGGCAACTGGACTTGGTTTTTTTCTTTGAAGACGTTTCACTTCTCATCCAAAAAGCTTCTTCAGCTCTGACTGGATGATGGGGAATGGAAGGATTTATATTCCTTGCAAACAGGTGGTCATTTGCATTCTTTTAGAGAGTCGTTGAGGCCACTTGGAGGTTTATCCGTATCCTCAGGATCACCCGAGTAGTGCAAATGGGTGTGGAGCCTTCTTGGAACTGCTGAAAGAACTATGTAGTAGACTGGAGATAGATGATGTCGTACCCCTCCCACTCTATGTCAAAATTGAACAGCCCCCTCTGAGGGACCCAGAGGACACAGATAAACCTCCAAGTGGCCTCAACTCTCTAAAAGAATGCAAACTTCCATTCTTTGTCTGCAAGAATCCTGATAATGATCAGGATCTTTGACAGCAAATTTTATTTGCACTTCAAAGAACACGCCAAAGAGCAAAAGCATATTTAATCCAAGTTTATATTGGCTTTTTGAAGCAGATTATCAGGATTACGGTGAACCAAGCATTTTCTGCAATTAATTGTACTGCAATTCAGATGATTTTAAAAAAAATCCATTTCTCCATGGAGGCTTTAAGATGTAATAGATGTTACATTTAACGATTGCATTTTCCATTCACTTAACAGAAACCTTATGTCTTACAGCACACTAGCACTTGTGCACAGCCTGCCATCGGAGGGGGAAAAATTGACTGAATGCAGGAATGGAAAGCTGCAGCAAAATTATAGCAGGTGGGCACTCTGGGATTCCAAGGCAAAGTTTGAATGGCAGAAAAGAAACCTATTCAGAACTGCTCCACAACTAGAACCAGTCCTCTGTCTTTCTGTCTTATTCTTGCAGCAATTTGGGGAGCGTCAAATTCAGGGAGAAAATTTCAAAAGGAACCATTTCTTTGTTGTGGAAAGTTGCATTGGCAAGGGGGAAAAATAATTATTATTCAGAAAGGGGCAGAAAATACCCTTTCATAAAACGTAGCACCTGAAATCAAAACGAAAAGCGATGGACACAATCTGCAAATATTTCCAATGCAAGTTACCTTCTTTTCAAACAAAAAAAAAGTAATATAAAAACGAGACATTATGAACCCTTCAAGCATCACGTGCCTTGCCATTTTCCCTCTATTCCCCATACTTGGCTTTACAATTCAAAATTTTACTTGAGTCGCACCAATAGGTAGTTCGACTGGTTTGCTTAGCTCTGCAAAAGAAGAGAAAGCCACAAAGACTGTCAGATCAATTTAATCAGGAAGCTTGTTCAACCCTCAACAAGAGAAGGAAGCAGTGAGGGTGGGCAGGAAACAGCCAGGCCCCCTCTCTCCAGGAAAATGTGTAACATTTTAGAAGATGGGAAGGGACCCAGGAAAATGCAGGCAAGCAGAGAGCATTCTCTGATAATTAAAACAAGTTGAAGTAGCGGCATTGCCAAAATAGCCTTCAATTCATGGTCCAATTTGGGCTTCCTTCCTTTCGCGGCATCTCAGCGCTCTGCAACTTCAGTGTCCTTCTCTTGTGCTGTGCTGCCCTTCAAAGCTGGACTTGGATGATCAAGGACAGAAAGGAGCCCTGGATCTTTCGAATCCGTCCTTTGTTTTAATTTTTGCCTTTAAGCATGGCATGTGGCCAAGAAAGCACTCAGTCGAGTTTTGGCCATGTGACCTTGTACAGTTTGGACAAGAGCTGTAAGTGTGCCTCTCCCCACCCCCCCATTCCTACATCAGAATAAAAAGCATAATAGCTATTCCATATGCGAACAGAAGGCTTGATGTTGATAAATGGTTTATTTGTTTATAAACTGAGTCACTTGAATATATGCATGCCCTCTCTGTGCAACTTCCATGAACTAATCAATTTACCCAGCATTATCAATCAACGTCCCAGAGAAATAGGCTTTATAATCAGATTGCAGAGAAATTCAGATTGGGGCCCACGGATTATGTTAACCCTGATGCTTGATGCTCATCATGTTCATCATACAGTGATCCAAAGAAAAATCACATACACAGGTTGATGTTGTTGTTGTTTAAAAAAAAGAGTGTTCCACTTTTTACAATCAGTGCCAAGTCCTAGAGCTTGCACTATACTCAGACTTAATCCAGAGCATATTAAAAGAACTTTAATTACGTACTTGCAAACTGCATTTTGCACAGGCTCAGAGAAAGTGGAATGATGGATGGAGAATGTAAAGAAGCACAGCTCTGAGAGGCTTTTTTCCCAAGGTGGCTGTGAAGGGCTTTCTAAGTGTCTTGCAGTTCATGATGGCTAAACATATAGGAAGTCAATAATAATCAAATAGAAGATAATGACTTCTTCCCCCCCCCCCCCGTTTTTGATGGAGTACTACTTCATACTAGCACTTTAACCCTAGCCCTTTTTCGGTAGGAGGGATTTGCATTTTTAATTCAAAGCTAAATACTATATCTTAAGCTGCCTGAACATATCTGGTTAAAACTCAACCTGCTTTCAAGTTCAAAATGAAGCCAGAAGTAAGTAATACTGAATAACAAGCTTGCATCCAGGGACATATCTTAATCTTCAGTTTAGTCTGAATTTCGTATTAGTGGCTTATTGGGGTTTATGATGGGGTTTTAATCAGAAACAGGCTCTATTTCTTTCTCTCTTTTTTACTTTTTGGTAGAAATATACATGCGATTTCTCCTGGGACTTGGCATTGCAACAGGCAACGCAAAATCCCACCAAATTGCACTTCACAACTGTCTCACTTAGGAACAGAAATTTTGGGGCTCAGTTGTGCTCGTAGATCGGGGAATAGCCGCAGTTGCTAGCCAATTCTGTTGGACCATTCATTATCAGGTTGGTTTTGCCAGATGTTAACCAATCCTCAATGTCACATCCTTGATGTATGGTGTTAAAGGATTTGGCAACGAGCGGGCATAGGATATTTCAGCTCCAAAACAGCAGTTCATCTTCTTGTTGCTGGCCAATTCTTGATCTTCCTCCACCATTTCTACTGTTATTACAAGTTCTTTCATTTCAGCTTCTTTTTTATTCTCTCCTTTAATCAACCTACATTCTTGTATTTTTGGAGGGTTATTCGCTAGCTGCAGCCAGAACTGCACTGTTGTTTCTTTGTCAGGGGCTGACTGGTTCATTGCAGTCTCTCTATTGAAGGATTAACAGAGATGTTTCTGATTCGACGGAAGTTGGAGGTTCTGCTTATAATGTGCAAGTCGAGCTTTGAATCTGCTGATCTACTTGCCTACGGCTATTATTTGATGCATTATTATTTCCAGTGCCTCCTTAAGCTTCCTCAATTCTAGGTGATATTTCTTGATCAGGTTTTTTTATTTGTTTTCTTGTTCCTCAGTTTCTTTTCTTTCATCTGTTCTAGCTTACTTGCATCTGACCTTATCATGCAGATCTTAATTTTCCAGCTTGATCTTCGTTTTTGGTGGTACACTGCCTGGATTTTTTTCTTGTTTTTTGATTTTGCATTCCAGGTATTCAGTTATAATTGCAGCTGTGCTGTACATCAGTTGGTTTGTTTCTTGCGGTGAGCTGGTGCTTATATTTGTTATTATGGTATTGGCATCTTTTAATACTTGTACTAGCTGTTTCTTTGGAACAAGCTTCAATGCAGGCAGTCATATTCTGCTGTTTTTGTAATCTAGATGTATTACAAAGTATGAGTGGTTTTGAGGTGGGCCTCCTGATAGAGGAACAGGGTAACTGATGCACAAGATAGATCTCTGCAAAAGGTCCTCCTTGGTAGTGCTGCTATCTGTTTTACTCTCCCTCTCATCAACACTGCCTGGGACCAACTATGGAAAAAGAAGGAGAACCCCTATGTGCCCCTCTCTTCTAGTCCCTATAGGCAGTCTAGAAGGAATAATGAGCAATGGTACCAAAAGCAATATAGGGTGAAAATAGTTGCACCACCCCTGTCCCAGTTCTGCCAATGGTCATCTGGATTTGCCAGAATGAGTTGCCAAACTTCAAAATTATACCAGAGTACTGTGTGTTTCTATCACAAAAAGTGGTTGCTTTGAAATTGATGCAAATGTTTTCAACAGGATCAATATTTCTAGGTAGGAATCAACGTACACCGATTCAGACCTCTTCATTAAGCAAATGCTTCGTTATCACAGACAGTACTGTATATATTAACAAATTTTTGTTTTTGTAGTTACTGATGTATTTTTTGTTACTTTTTTTCAAGCTTTCGCAAATAGTCTTATGGACCCAGCTAAGGACCATTTTCTCTCGTCACCTATTCCGAACAGTTGATTTGGGGAAAGGAGTAGTGTATTTTTGTATACAGTATTTTACATAGAATCATCCAGAACTATGATTATGAGGGTGCAAAAGGACAGACATGGAATTTCACAACAAAGGCAATGAATGCTATTTCTGACATAAGTGAACCAATTCCTTTGGAAAGATAAGGTAACTAAAATTCTCAAGCAATTCTGGGCAAATACGCAAAATGAATTAATAACTGAAAATATCAAAAACACAACAAACTTGCTTGGCTTTATCAAATCATTGCATTCTATTTAACCAAACCTGCTTGAATTTAAAAGGTCGACTTGCTTTTTTTAATATGAACAATACATCATGTTATAATTTCCCATTTTATATGTGTGGGGGTACACACATTTTCAAGTCTTGCGTGGCACAAGTAGTTTCCACTGACAAATTCCTGAAGCTATTTTCACCAATGTACCTAAAGAGAAGAGCGGAAAACCAGACTGGCAGCCTAGGGCCATACTTTTAAAAATGCCTTAATTTTTATCTATTACACTTCCTTTCTAGGGAGTGGTAATGAAAACTTACCTGTTGAAGAATAAGTATCCAAATTCAAAAATTTGATGAAAATAAAACAGAAACTCAGCTACTGCACTTCTTTTCCACGGCAATACTTCAGCTGGCATAACTGGAACATTTAAGGAGGCATACCAACATTACTCAAGTCATTACACCCTCAATGAAGAAGGGGCGTCATGCAATATTAAAATTTCCCTCTTTTGAAGCTGTGAAGACTGCAAACCAAGAAAAGGTTAGCCCTAATGCAGAGCTTTGGGAAGGCAGTGGTAAAAAGCAGATCAACTTAAAATGTAAAAGCAGCAGCCCAGCAGCAGCAAAGGAATAAAAAAAAAGCAAGACCACAAATGGGCCACAGACCTGATGGGGGATGAATCGCTGGACGTGGAGGAGGTGGGCATAGGGCTGGATGGTGCAGAGAACATGGGCCAGGACGGTGAAAGGGGTGACGTTGGACTTGGATTCTGAGGGCTGCAAGACAGAACCAAACAACTTATCAAGACACAGAAAAGCACAGCACCAACAAACACCCCTCTTTGAAAGCATGACTCAGCAATAATGAGTGCCCCTGCCCCAAAATCTGTGGAATTAGAGAAAATCCCCAAATGGAAAAATGGGGAGATTATTTAAAGGCTGGCATCTTGTTTCATTGGAGTCTCCCTGTCTCACCCTCAGACCTACTCCCAAACAAGCCTTCCCAGCATTCCATTCTCCTGTTATACTCTAAGACAAGGACTTCAACTCCCAGCATAATGGGCTCAGGAATTCTGGGAGTTGAAGTCCACAGGTCATAAAGGGGCCGTAGTTGCCCATCCCTGCTCTAAGAAGATGCTTGGCAAGGAGATCCCAAGGCCCATGATCATCTCATTTTACACTATAACTCATGCTTTCTCCTCTGCTCCCTCTGCCCACCTCTTTTATTTCAAGTATCCCTCACTGATTACCAGAAAATGCTGGTCCTATTTTCATACAATTAGTAACCTGCCGTGATAGTATGTTCAGGAAAAAAAGGGACTATTCTCTGGGTCACAATGCATAGCATGTGAAAATGATTTCCTGTTTACATTTATGAGTAAATGAGCCTTGCACGCTGGAAACCCAGAGGGATTTGTTTTTACTAAACAAATAAGTTGGCAGGTGACTCTGCTAGTCTAAATGGAATAAGGCAAGAACAGACAGCTTGCTCCCAATCAAATTCGACCACCCCCAGAATACAAATTAAACACACACACACACTCCAGTATACATTTGCTAGGTTGAGAAATAACTGAGATGAAAAGCTAAAAACTCCACAGAGAAGGGTTTCCCCCCCCCCCTATGCAGACAGATTCACAGATATAAGCCACGGTACATATTCATAAACCACATTGATTTAGCTAATGGAAAGCATACTAGTCTTACTGTAATTCTTTTCAAGTCCTTAAAAAATATCAGCTGAGAAATGCATACTGAGACAAGCTGTGCCAAGAGAAGATCAGGATTGTTTCATGTGCTCAGGACATAAATAAGATATTGTAGATATGAGTGCTTAGAAGTTCAAGTAGTTTCCCCCTATTTAAACATAAAAAATAGTTTGGAAATGTGATCCTTCCCATGCAATAGGATCTTCAGTCCTAGACTTTTAGGGCTGTTTCTTTCAGGAATCTGCTGCCACAATGAGTAGTGGCTTAAATGAAATCCTAACAAGTTCCCGTGGCTTGTTTGGACTGGAGTCAAACTACAAAACTCGCTTAGCTCCTTCAGCATTAATTACTCATGGCATGCTTTTCTGGAAGTGGGGGGCTGGGGGGGGGGCAAAAACCTGGAAGGACTTGCACATGTCAAATTTCAAATTAATTACAAAAATTATCAAAGAGAAACAGGACATGTGTGTTAACACACAGCCTTTCAGCTCCATATTATCTGCCCCAATGGTGCAGATTATCCAAGCGGCCAGCCAATTTGCAGCCTTATGGAGAGATGGAAAAGAAAATCATCTCGGGGTCTTCTGCTTGTGAAATATGTATCTAAGCCTTCTCCCATGCTGAAGAGCACAATAACCTTGCCAAAGCCAAAATACTTTAAAACCTGAGGCAAAAAAAAAAAAAAAATCCTGCAAGCTGCTCTCCCTTGGGGGTGTGTGGAGGGAGAATACAGTAGTTAAGAAATTAAGCTAAGAATTGACTTCCTGCTTGAGGCTACCACACTGTTCTGTGCAACAGCTGAGCTGTACAGCTACAGTCTATCCCCTGGCACAATGACTGGAAGATACAGGAATTTGAAACACGGAAAATCCACCCGTTCCTATTTCCGTGGTCTTTAATTGTGCACATCAAAATGTTTGCCATTACTTAAGGACGTGCTTGCTTGCTTGCTTTACTGTCTGTTATCTCATCTAGAAGAAAAATGCCAGCATATCATGCTGTGACTTTTTGTTTTGCATGTAAGTTTTATTTAAGTTCTTGATTTTATCACACAAAGTAGAATCTGTTTATAGGAACTGCTGACAGACTGATTAAAACGTTGCAAGAAAAGGAACGCTTCACTTCGTTGGTTATACCTACAATCATTCATTCACAGCTGCAACAAATACAGAATATACAAACTGGACTGGACTTAGATAATTTTACAACATTCCTGTATACGTGGGTTTTGACAACAGAAAACTAAGGAACCTGCGAAGCACGTTGCGACCATTGACTATCAACTTGGATTTTCCACCTTTTGTTCAGGCTTAGACATCTTAGAAACAGACTTGTTAAATTTGAGAAATTAGAATGTCACTGCCAATTTCTCTGCAGAGTTTTTGAGCTCCTTTTTCAAGATTGCGGCTGTGGCATATGCTAAAGTCAGAGGAATTTGATTCCCTTTCCAAAGGGAAAATACATTTTTCAAATACCAGAATGATCACCAGATCAGAGCTAACATTGTAATAGTTAATTCTACGTATGCTGAGTTAGCTGTTGGAGAGCTATGGGATGTCAGCTCAGCAAAAGATAATTCATTCAATGATTTAAGGTGCATATATATTGCTTCATGGGAGTGATTTGGCACAAGTTTATTTAAAAAAATTAAAATGACTCAAATAGAAATTTACAAATGCTGCACATTCCATGTTAACAGAGGCCAGAAACTGCAGTTGAGTTTCTTATCGCTCTTCTTGGTTTGGCCTGCATTCAAACATTTTGCTATGAAAGCAATATGTAAATATGTGCCCAGAGCTGAGCTATTCAGTTCTGAATAATATTTAACCCGCTAAATTCTTATCTGAGACAAATCAACAGTTACAGAAAAATACTCTTCATACCATTACGCTCTTTTAGCACCTTGGATTTTGCACACCCTCATTATCTGTGTATACACAATGCACATCCAGACACGTCCATGATACTTTCTAGTAGACTTCTTCTCCATGGAAAAATCACAACAAACAACAATTATATAATGCTTTCCAATTAGACACATGGATTGCTTCTTACTATATGGTACCAACTATCTCCATATCATGAGAAATAATTCATATGTACAAAGGAAATTAAGCTAAGGAAATTAAGCCCTATCAAGTTATTTGCTCCTATATCACTACCATTCACTGCAACCTCAATTCTACAAAATGGTTTCTGCACAAAATTAGCAATTGTGGGGGCCATTTTAGATAGCCCTGAGCTGAAAGCTGGAATATGCATATGCAGGGGTTTGATGTTATTTCTTTTGGAAATTTTGACTCCTCTTTACCCTCAACAGTCCTCTGCTTCATTTACTGATTTTTTAAAATATGATATTTACTAATATTTACTAATATTTTTAATACTGATCCAGATAACTTTATTTCTGATGGAACAGCATTATCTCTGATCCAGTGTAATGCAGTGCAGTGTATTATAATCCAATCAAGACTGCTAGCACTGATGATGTTACCTAGTTTGAGAATGAAATGTCTGCAAGAAAATAACAAAGCTCAGAGTCCACCAAGGACCCCTCATTTCAACCCTGAGCTACAAATATTCTCCTTTATTGGTACCAGTCCAATCCAGTCCAATCCAGTCCAGTGAAGTTCAATCCAATCCAATCCAATCCAAGGTCATTAAGTCAAGTGAACGAAAAGTCTCCTTCCAAAATAAAAGTAACTAATACATTAGATTTGCTAATGATATCTTTCAATAATTTCACTAAACGTCCTACTTTTGAAGCAAATACAAACTTCGGAGTGTATTTGGCCAAGCCACAGCTTGATGTTATCTACTACTGATAGCTGGTATTGGAAGAAAAAGTTGAAAACGATAACTGAACACTGGAAACTATTAAAATATGATAACCGTTGGGGCCAGATACCAAGCAATTTTAGATGAAATAACAATAGCTTTCTGAATAATAGAATTGCTTACAAACAATAACTGCCCTCTTTTCACTAAATAAAAAAATATCCTGGATATCTTTTAAAATATACTTTATAGGAACCATGATGCCTATGTTTTATATTGGATTTCTGTGTCTTTCTGTGCAATTCAAGGAAATGGACAGTGTGAAAGTTGCTGTTGGCTTCCTTCCAGTTTTCTTGTGGGAAAATATCTTCATCATAAAAAAGCAGTTCATAATTTGGCACCAGAAGAGCATTCTTGTCCAGATTAGAACAGTTTTAATATAAGTCATAGTTTATGGGCAAACTTGTTTTAAGTGGGGGGAGGTCTATTCAAGACAGATTGTAACCTCTAGTTCGGAAAAATATAGCATGAACATCAAAGAAAGCAATGGAAGGGCAGATAAAAAAAATGAAAACTAGGACTGAGTGAATTTTGCAAGCCAAACTTTTTTAAAAATGAAATAATGGATTTAGGAGAGCACACTGACAAAAACAGAAAACTCCTGCAGGGGCCCACCTCTGTCTCTGTGTAGTACATGCTTCCTTTTCCTTCACGAAGGCGAAATTGAAAGCCACCCCTTAGTCTCTTTTAGAGCAGTTTTGCAAAGCAATGATTGCTCAAAATAGGGTCTCCCATTGGTGATCCATAGTCCTCTGAAACTTTCCCCATCTTCACCAGCCATAGTCTGCTCTCTGCCTCAGCCTCATTTTCTCACATTCCATAAGCACAATGTCACCCACTGATTGTCAATATACATGTAAAGGCATGCCCAATACACATGGGGGGCCTCCAAGAGTAATCTGGTGAAAACCTGTTGCCACATTAGCCTCTGCCTTTCTACCTTCATCAGAGTTCAGTTGCCACCTCAGTCTTGCTTCAAGTTGTAGATGAAGTTTTTAAATAAATAAGTTGGCAGGTGAATCTTTTAGTCTAAATGGAGTAAAGCAAGAAAGGACAGCCCGCTCCCAATCAAATTCTTGGCTTATGCAGAGCATGCATAAGACATAAAGAAATGTGACTATAATCATTTAGCAGTCAAAAAACCCCCCCCCCAAATTCTCAGGCTCTAAAAGATGAAAAAAACACACCAAGAATAGAGGTGTTTAATTGTACTTTCTGAATTTTTATTTA